GTTCCTGCTGGGCTTTTTCTACAAAAAGAGCCCTGACAGTTTGTATTTAAACAGATTCCACCCTATATATGAACTAGTAAAGGTTTCCCTTGCTCGAAAGCCAGTCAAATCCGACTCTAGGGGGTGGTGCTCATCTCCGTTTCCAAGCCGAAGAGCCAGCACTCTACCCGAAGACGTTTCCGTGGTCATTTGGCCGGCTTTCCCACTGAGCCACAGCCCTTCCCCATAGGTATTATGCATTATACCATGTAGTCTCTTTGGCTTTTTTTTCTTAAAAAAGGCAAGGTCTTTGCATGCGAGCTGGGCTTGGCCTTCATGTCTCGTTCCTTTTTACTGTAATAGTGTTGGCGACAGAATCCAACAGAAAAAGAGAGTGAATCCTCAGACGGGGTGTATGTGCACCTGAAATAAAGTGGTGCTAACTTTCTTCCCCATAGTCCTGCAGACGTAAACAGGTGTTAGTGCTGCAGGGTTGGGGAAAATATGTAAAAAGCTGTACATGCATGGAATGGCTGGCATCCTGAGGCAGACAGACTGAGGCTCAGTGGTAGACCCCTTGCTTTGCATGTTGAAGGTTCAATCCCTAGCATCTCCAGTTAGAGGCTGCTGGGTAGCAAATTTTACGAAACGTCTGTTGCCAGAGACCCACAGCGTAAACATCACTAATAACTCATCATCCATGCTGTTGCCATTGTATAGTTAGTGGTAGAATGTTGTCCCAGGTTCAGTCCCTGGCATCTTCCAGTTAAAAGGGTCAGGTAGGGTGATGTGAAAAGACCTCAGACCCCAGAAAGCTGCTGCCAGTCCAAGTAGACTATATTGACCTTGGCAAACCAATAGCTTTGTTGTTCAGTCGCACAGTCGAGTCCGACTCTTCGCGACCCCATGGACCAGCTCACGCCAGGTCCTCCTGTCTTCTGCTATCCTCTGAAGTTCACTCAATTTCATGTTCGTTGCATCTATGACACCAATACCTAACTCTGTATAAATTCAGGTGGGCAGCTGTGTTGGTTTGAAGCAATAGAACAAAGTTTGAGTCCAGTGGCACCTTTAAGACCAACAAAGTTTTATTCAAGGTGCGACTGGACTCAGACTTTGTCTTAACTCAGTACAGGGCAGCTTCGTGTATTCTTTTAAATTTATCCCATGTATATAACTCAAAAGAGGGGGAAACAACAGGATTACAGTATCAGATGTGTTTTCAAAACCAAAACTTTAGTCATTGGTTCTGTGAAACCAGGATGCTTTCCCTTTTGTCCTTCTTACAGCCCTCTAAACCAAAACTCCTGTGCCCGCTTAAGTTTGTTTGTGGCAGAGGGTTTTCTGAGTTGGAGCCCCCTTCATCAGCCACATGGAGTAAATCCTCCAGCAACAGCACCAATACAAAGCAGGAATACATAAAACCGTCCCGTCCGGGATAAAAGCCCAAGGAAGGCAAGAGATTAAAATCTGTGCCATTTATAGGCACAGCAGGAAAATATACAAAGGAAGTCTAGTAATCCACAGTGATTGCAATAGGTGATGTCTGAATATATCTTTTTAAGATTTGAATAGTAATGTCACAGGTCCATTTTCACTTTGGATTAACTAAAGGAGATGCTAACCCAGGGAATGTAGTGAATTGGTGCCGTTGTAACACTACACTCTTATGCCGTTTATCCAATGTCACAGCATACGATTGCACCGTAAACATGTTACAAGTGCTGCAAGATTCCCTGTTGTTCTTTTGCAGCAACAGACTAATGGATTTTCCCTGTCTGCTTGGATTCACCACATACGAGCTTGAAGTAATTCCCAATTTCACTGCGTAGCGCCGCCAGACATCCCCCTGTTCGAAGCCACAAATTTGCCTCCCGACCACGGCAAAAGTCGTTGCGCGCGTGCGCGTTCCGGAGGGAACGGACGCTGACGTTCTCCCTTTTGCGCATGCGCCTTAGCCATCCCGTTTGGGGGGTTTTCCCATTAGGTTCCTATTCTTTTTCCTAACTCTTCATTCCCCCCCACCCCAAGCCGTCTAAGATAAGTGGTCCGACAATCGCGGTCTAAATTAAAAACGAACAACCCACAGACAAAGCCCCTCACCGACGTTGACCTTTAAACCGACGGCGGGAGGTCAAAGGTCACCAATAAAATGGCGCCTGCCGAACAGGCAAAGCTGATTGGGCGCTGGGGGAAAGGGCCGAGGGTGTGACGAAGCCCCGGCGTGAGGCTGTCGGTGTTCACCGAGTTGGAGAACGAGAGGCTCGAGTGGCTTCCGTGTCGCCGCCGGCGTGAGGACCGCGGGAGCCGCCTCAGAGTGGAGTCTTCGGAGAAAGTTCCTTGGTCGTACTTCTGCGAAGAAGCGCCGTTCCTCCGCCCGAGCTGCGCCTGAGCTCGGAAGAGCCCGCCTCGAGCCTCGGAGCGCCCGAGGGAAAGCGACGGTCCTCCGAGGAGGGCAACCATCGCGCCCCTGCTGAAGGCTCCAGTCCTGAAGAGCAGAGCGCCGCTTCCCTGCGCCGAGTGGAGGGCGGATTCTCCCGCCAGGAACCTTCGTCCTTCTTCACATCCTTTCGAGATGCTCCTCCGCTAACAGCGCTGTGACAAAAGCCTCTGCTATGAGCTGCCCCCAAAGTGCACGTGCTCTGGGTAGCTCCCACAGTGAATTAGCCGTGCCCTGGCCGGAAACTCACAGGGTGGCCTGGGATCCTACGTCCCAGCATTGAGCCAGATGGTCCCTTCCAGATTAGATTGTGCTGGAGTGCAGCCAAGTGACTGTTGGTGGTCTCTCTTCCCAACGGGAGTACCAGTAAAAAACTGACCCTGTTTTTTGGAGGTTTCCGTAAGAAGGCACTCATGTATTAGCTATATGCCCTTAAACCTGCCCGAGAATCCTGGTAGCAGTCAGGTGCTCTTCATAAAATCAGGTCAAGAGGACTGCTGATGGGTTATTGTCAGTGTCCCTCTCTTCATATGGGAAGACCGACAATAACCTGTCTGTGTTCTAAAACCTCTCCCCGGATCAGTCCTAGAGAGAGACCCCTTTTTCCATTATACAGCTGTCTGCTGAAAGAAACAGCATCTCGGTAGCTTGGTTTGAAAGTACATAAAGTCGTCATTTCTAGTTTCAGAAGCTGGCTGAAATACATTCTAGCTGTACTCCCTTGCTTCATTACCTGAATGGATGGTATCATTGGAACTGGACATATTGCATAAATCTAGTTTAGTAGATCAGTGTTTTTTCAGATTTTAGGGAGGCTCCTTATAAAGTTCCCTAAATTTCTTTCCGTATACTATTTGGTTTTATGGATAATGGTCCCTCTCTGGATATGCCCGTTTGTGCTGTTCTATGACTTGAAGATGAAAGATCTGTAACGAGAAGAGGAGTTCACAAAGAAGGAAAGTTAAAAGGATCTTTGAAAAGGCTCCTGTTGAAGATGGTGGCAATGCGCGTTTGATTCTCACCAAGGTTCAGTGGTGCTGTTCATGATGAACAGGAAGAAAGGAGACAAGGGGTTTGAGAGCCCAAGACCATATAAATTATAAGTATCTATGATAACTTTTTGTGTCTTGTGAGCATGTTTTGATGATTTTAAAGTATGTGGCACCTTCTGAAATGAAAAAGCATGTGTTTGCTAAAGGCTAGTAAGCAGAAAGATTGTAGTGGGAAAACTGTAGAGTAGTCAAAGTTGTACTTTGACAAGTAGTTTTAAGTTATTTGTTTGCATTATTTATAGTCTCCCTTTCTTACTGAGATTCAAGGCAGATCACACAGTGTCACAAAGAAATGGGAAACTGCATATTTGCTTTTAGTACACATTCATTTGGGAAGGGGGTATGGCTCAGTGGTAGAGCATCTGAAGGTCACAGGTTCAGTTCCCTGCATCTCCAGCTGAAAGAACCGGGTGGTGCATGATGTGAAAGACCCTCTGCCTGAGACCCTGGAGAGCAGCTGCTATTCTGAGGAGACAAGACTGACCTTGATAGACCAGTGGTCTGATTTGGTATAAGGCAGCTTCATGTGACTTAGCCCTGACTTAATTTCTTGATCCCAACAGTCAAAATTAGCTTGATGCCTGAAATTAGTTAGTACAGCGCAATCCAGAAATAAAGTCAACTAGAATATTTTGATTTCTGTGCACTACTGTTATGAATCTTGGGCTAGCTAGTTTTAGCTCTTCTTTTTACCTGATTTTTAAAACTAGATTGTGGATTTATGATCAAAATAAATTGTCTCTCTTATTAGTGAGCTAGGTTTCTGCAATGATAACTAAGAGACGCATTAAGATCAGAACAGTGTATTATGCAGAACATACTAGAAGACGACTTGGATTTGGGGAAGGGTGTTTTTTTTGCCTCACTCTGTTTTTGCTGTTCAGGGGCAAGAGAGATGTGGAATGATTAAAAACTCCACTGTCCATTTGTAGCTGCCCTGCCAGAAAAGGTGCACCCTAAGGCCACTTGTTATACCACCATAGGTAAAACACATACTGGTATATCTAATGGTGTACGAGGAAACTTATTACCCTTATTGGGCTCATATAAGCACTGATGATGTTATGAACTGTTCTTTTTAAGCAATTAATATATTTTCCTATGTTACAGTATCAGAGAAGCTTCTTACGTTTATTGTGGTGCTTAGTCATGCATCCACACATAAAACAACTGTTACCCGCTTAATGTTAATTTCAGAATCAGTTCTGAAAATACTGCCTCTCAATTGCCAGTGGCAGAGTGGAAATACTTCCCCCTCCCCAAGTAAGTAGCTTATTGCACCCACGTCTAAAAAACCATTATACGTCACATGGGTGTGTGCAGGGCAACAGTATACTAACTTCTTTTCAAGTTTAAGCCAAAAAACCTTTTGGACTTTATCGGTCTTAAAGGTGCCACTGGACAAACTGTGTTCTGCTGCTTCAGACCAACATGGTGACCCACTTGAATTTTTCTTTTCAAGTTGTACATGTTTGTGTTTTCCAAGATACTTATTTTGAACTCTTTTTCCCCCCTCTTCTGCCCAGCACAACGCACCAGGTGGTCTGTATCAACAACATAAATTTCCAGAGAAAATCTGTGGTTGTAAGTATAACTGTCAATGTCAAAAAAATTCTATTTACTATATCTGCCACGTGGGTGGTGGGGGGTTAACTGTTTGTTTTTCTTTATTCCATTTATCCTCCCTCCCCCTGTAATTGCTTGTTTCCTTCAATTTTATACACTGCATTTCTGTCGTACCATAGACAGGAAAAGTCTTCCTGAGAAGCATTACTCTTTTCTTTATCTATCTGATCTGGCCTCCTACTCCTGACCACCAAGCTGGTCTGCAGATGCTGAGTGCCATGTTCTGACTTGGTTGCTGAGAGTGCTCAGGTCCTCGTGTTCTAGCGATTTCCGTGAGAATATACCAAAGGCTACAATTTGACTTAGTTATGCAGTCATTTTTAACACATTTCTTGTTCTACAAAGCAGCAGAACGCAACATCATAATGACAACATAAAAAGCCAGCCAATTAGCCCTAAATTCACATATGCCTCTAATAATATATTGATACCCCAATAAAAATCAGTAGCCAAACCAACAAAGTACTGAATAAGTTCAGATTCACCGTGAGAATATACCAAAGGCTACAATTTGACTTAGTTATGCAGTCATTGTTAACGCATTTCTTGTTCTACAAAGCAGCAGGATGCAACATCATAATGACAACGTAACAAACCAGCCAATTAGCCCTAAATTCACATGTACCTCTAATAATATATTGATACCCCAATAAAAATCAGTAGCCAAACAAAGTACTGAATAAGTACAGATTCATGGAGGATTCCAGTTTCTGGGTCCAAAAAAGGCAAGCCTAGGAAGCAGACTCTGAGGTGCCAGAGACCAGCTTGCAGTTCTTTCAGTAAGCAGGCTTTCCACATTAAACTTAAGATTCGAGTCTAGGGGCACCTTAAAGACTTAACAAGATTTCCAGGGTATAATCTTATACTAGTCAGAGCTCCCTTTGTCAGACAGGAAGAGGGAGTTTTGACTCTCAAAAGCTTCTACCTTAGAAATCTCACTGGTCTTTTAGGTGCCACTGGACTTGAATCTTGCTGTTCTACTGGAGAGCAACATGTCTACCAGTGTTCCCTCTAAGCTGAGTTAGACTGAGCTAGCTCACAGTTTTTTATCCTCCAGCTCACACATTTTTGTCTCAGCTCAGGGAAGGGTGGCTCCAGAGCAAACTAATTAATGCAGGAGCCAAATGGCTTGCTCACAACTTTAATGCCATTAGCTCACAAAGTAGAATTTTTGCTCACTAGACTCCACAGCTTAGAGGGAACATTGATGCCTGCCCACCCCAAACTATTTCCACATTGAAAATCATAACAGATTAAGCATCACAAGGCACCCAAACTTTATAGAAACTGAAGCTGGATGTACAGAGGACTTTGTATTCCCATTTTCCCTGTCAATTTTTTATTGTCTATGTAAGGTGGCTCCACAGCCGAGTACATCACATTTTTTAAAAACTCTACAAGGCATGTCATGAGATGTTTTTCATAATAAATCAATATATCTGTGTTTTAGAACTTAAACATCCCCTAGAACAACCTGCCAGGCCTTTTTCTGAAAGCATGCACAGAGTGTAGGGTTGAGGTGGGTCTCAAGAGGGAGTTCGACAACTCCTGGGCCTATGCAGAGAAAGATTTTGTGATATTTTACACTGCCAGTGGATAGTATTGGGAATAGGATTTATGTGACCTCAGCGAACAGGCTGGCATATCCAGGGAAGAGTGCTCCTTAAGAGACGTTGGGCCTTGATGTTTTTCTTGATTGACAGAACTTTATATCCCACGTTATTGACCAGTTCAAGGTGGCCTACAAATGGCACTAAGGCAAGCAACTTAAATTGACCTGGAAGTGAGTAGGCAGGCACCTGATATAGTCGCCTCAGCACAGGTTTTATCTGTTGGTGCCATTTCATCCTTGACCGGATGCATGCTGCTGCATTCTGCAGAAACTGCTGAGTGCCTTTCATGGGCAGACCCGCACAAGGTGCTTTGCAGGAGTCAGTCCGGAAGGTTGCAAGGTCTTGGATGATAATTGTTGGATTCCTCCCTTGTAGAGAAAGCCATTGTAACATGAATAGCTGCATTCCTCCACCATAGGCAGGCACCCGATGTAATTGCCTCAGCACAGGTTTTATTTGTTGGTGCCATTTCATCCTTGACCAGATGCAAGCTGCTGCATTCTGCAGAAACTGCTGAGTGCCTTTCAAAATGAACACATACCACCAGCAATGTTTACTGTTGTTCTTTTAGTTATAGTTAGGAAGGTATGAACTGTTCTGTGTATTTTTTAAGCTTTGGGTGAGGAATGTGTGTTCAAGATAGCATTAGTCACACTGTTGCTCTAGCACATAACTTTGCCAGTGGGCCTGGAGAATAATGTTTTGTTCCTCTTAGAGAGGCTTAATGGGGTATTATTTACCTTCAACACATTAAGCCTCTATTAAAGAGACAGAATGTTTTTGTCCAGACCTTTTTGTAACGCTGTCAGCAGTATTGCCTACTCTGACTGGCAGTGGAACAGCTCTCCAAGGTCTCAGGTAGAGGTCTCACATCTCCTGCTACCTGATTCTTTTACCTGATTGAACCTGGGGCCTTCTGCTGGCAAAGCACACGCTCTGCCCCTGAGCTACAGCTCCTCTCAAAGTCCATGCTCCGATTGGGTTGTGGTGTTACCACAGCTGTTTGCTGAACCTTTCAGATTCCTTGAAGGGAATCCACAGATGGACGGGGAAGCTGAGTAACTTGTCCAGCATCAGGGCAAATTTTGAAGTGCAAAAGGGAACAGTTTTCATGTATACCAGTATTTTGACCGCTGCACTGTTTTTCTTCCCCTGTTAGGGTGATTTCTTAAAAGCCTTCAAAATACCCCAAACAGACTTTCTGCATAAATGCCATTATTAAAGCAGTCAGGATTATTATACTTACCTTCCTGTCCCACTGATCATCTCTAGTCCAGTATATCTACTGCCCCCATCTCTCCTGCCATAATTGTAATGCTATATGTGCACACTTAGTAACACATGTAAACATATTTCCAGCTTCATACAGAACAGGAGTCTCAAACACAAGCAGCATAAATAGTGCAGGAGGAATGGCAAAAAAAAAAAGGTGTGTTGTGGATAGTATGTTGGATCAGGCACACCCAATTCATATACCAGAACAACTTTCAAAGAGAAAAGCCGAATTAGAGCTAGGACAGTATTTTGTTTGTCTGTCTGTTTGTTTTAGCATTTCAGGTAGTGCAGAATCCTTTTGCATGCATGGTGAGCCAGTTTGGTTTAGTGGTTAGCAATGTTCCCCCTAAGCTGTGGAGTCTTGTGAGCAAAAATTCTACCTTGTGAGCTACTGGCATTAAAGCTGTGAGTGAGCGATTTGGCTATAGCATAAATTAGTTTCCTTTGGAGCCATCCTTCCTGAGCTGAGACAAAAATGTGTGAGCTGGAGTCTAAAAAACTGTGAGCTAGCTCACACTAACTCATCTTAGAGGGAACACCGGTGGTTAGGACACTAATCTGGGAGTGGGTTTGATTCCCCACTCTTCCACATGCAGCTGCTGGTGTGACCCTGGGTCAGACATAAGTTCTTTTAGAGCTGTTCTCTCAATGGCAGTTCTCAGGAGAGCTCTCTCAGCCTCACCTACCTCACAGGGTGTATGTTGTGGGGAGGGGAAGGGAAAGGGATTGTAAACCACTCTGAGACTCCTTTGGGTAGTAAAGGGTGGGGTATAAATCCAATCTCCTCCTCCTTTTTAATAAAAATAAATCACTTTGCGTGCAGACTTTTTCTAAGTCTAAAACACAAGACTGATTTCTGTAACATGCCTGTGTCTAATGTTATGGTTTTAAATCCGTACAGGGTTATGTGGAGCTGACAATATTCCCCACGGTGGCAAACCTGAATAGAATCAAGCTTAACAGTAAACAATGTAGGATATACAGAGTGAGAGTCAATGATTTGGAAGCAGCTTTTATTTATAATGATCCCACGCTGGAAGTTTGTCACAGTGAATCAAAGCAGTAAGTATACAAGTCTTATTTGCTCACGTTTCAGAAAACTATAAACATTTCCTTAAATATATCCAGAGCAGGAAACCAGCCAAAAAGTCAGTTAGTTTAGCTTACAGTTTTACAGATTAAACTGCGTTTGGTAACTCACTGTCAACTCAGAAAAAGAGCTAGATTCGAATTCAGTAGCACCTTAAGTTACAAGAAGATTTTCAGGATATAAGCTTTCAAGTGTCAAGGCACAGCTACCCTCTGAAGTAGTAATTTTAGGATTATTTAAATTGTTGTATGTTTTTATTCTCTCATATAAATCTGATAAATAAATAAATAATTTGTATATAATAAGCCTGAACAGAACTTTATGGTTGGTAATCATCCAGCATTACATCGTGTCTCCCAAAATATACCTTAAAATATGCCGTCCAAGCCAGAGGATGATGAAGCCATCCGACAAAGGGACCTTTGACTCCCGAAAGCTTATATCCCCAAAATTTCGTTGGTCTCTTAAGATGCTACTGGACTTGAATCTAGCTGTCCAAGCCAAAGGATCACAAAAGGTCTTTATTAGTGTCAGCAATAAATGACTGTAAGGCAAACAGATATAAATCCAGATCTGGACACCATCGAAACAACTCTTTTATGTCCCATTTACAGGAGGTAAACACGGTCATCAAGTATCTCATTCACCATACTGGTACTCTTGATAGATTCCTCTTATAGTGAGTGGCATATTTTGAGCTGGACCAATCCACATGAGGGCAAAAAAGAACAAAATGAAGAATGATTTCTCCCAGATATTAGCCTTTCTTCCAAGGAGCCTACCTTTCTTTACATAAATTGTGGCCTGTTCCTGTCTGTGAACCCCCAGTATTTAGTATCTAACCACAAATTCCCCCTAAACACAGACATACCAAAAAAAAAAGCTGTCCCTTGGTGATATGTCAAATTTGCTTTTAAAGTACAAGTCCCTTTAAGTGCAAGTATCCCTGAAACTAATACTGAAGCTGAGATTTGTGTTAATTTTTATTTCTGGTGCTAATTATGTGCCACAATAATGTATTTTATTTACTTCATTTATA